ATAACTCCGTTATGGGAAAATTTTTTACTTTGATAAAATCACTCATTGTTATACACTAATATTTACTAATGACGTTTCGAGCACAAATTATTGCTCATAATCATATCAAGGCATTGACACAACTTTCTTGCTGAATATATATATATATATATATATATATATATATATAGGCTAAAGGACCCTGTGGACCCAATTAAACAAAATAATATAATTCACAAAATACCCTGCAATGACTGTGCGGTCATCTACATAGGTCAAACTAGTGGATCGGTGGTAGTGAGATTGTCAGAACATAAGAATTTAGCTAAGGATAGAATGACTGACCCTACGAAGATAAGTAATTTAGAAAAAAATCAGCAATAGCACTGCATGCATTAACCCAAAACTATACAATAGGGTGGGACAGAGTTAAAATTCTAAAAAGTAATATAGGTAGGTGGAGAGAGAGGTTGATTACTGAATCCTTGTTCATCTAGTCTACACCCAACTCATGCACAATAGAAGTGACTCAACGCGAATACCAGAGATATGGAAGATATTATTACCGGTCAAATCGGAGAATAATAAATAATGTTAAGATGTATTCAATTCACGTTATAAAACTCTAACAAGTTATTTACTTTACTATAAAAACGTCTTATTTCCCATGCTATTGACTAATAACACTCGTCTTATTTCCCATCTTATTGTATTTTATTGACAACACTAATATTATTTCCGAATGTACTTTATCTTGTATTGATTTTTATTCAAATGTCTAATCAATTTTTACTCATGTATGCAAATGAAGTAAGAAAGTTGTGTCAGTGTCTTGACATGATTGTGAGTGATAATTTGTGCTCGGAACGTCATCAGTAAATATTAATGTATAACACTGTGTGATTTTATCAAAGTAAAAATTTTATCCATACTGGAGTTACAACGATATCGTCGTACTTAAGTTATTCAGTCTATAAAGTAAAATAACACCATTACTATTTCAAAGCACAAAATGGTGTTAGCTGGTTTCTTGTTTTAATGAATTTATATCTGACTAAACATTGCATTTAGATCTTATAGAAACTATAAATCTCTCATCAATTGCTTTCTATAAACTTTTTACTTGATCAACTCCATTAAGGTGATACTGAAATATTTTGAATTCTTCATCTATTTGTTGGGTGAATCTTTTCTCCTTCATCTAGCTCACTTTATTTAAATGGACTAGGCAAGAAGAATCAAATTCGCAAGACTTAAAACTACTTCATCCTTTTTATTTTCAGCTCGGTGGCATGGCGGTTAGGACGCTCGCCGACCAAGCACATGGTCCGACGTTCGATCCCCGGCCGATGCACTCCTTTACCTCTCTAAGCCATTAATAATGCTGGTGAAGAGGAAAGGTTGGGCATGAGGCTAGCAACCCCATCCCGTAAAATAAAGACTGCTACAGAAACTTCAAGCCAATAGCTTGAAGCCCTATGTTCCACTGGGGAACGTGAAGGAAAAATAAAATAATGCTACTTGGAATTACAGTGGTAATTACAAAAACAATAAAACTAACACACTTCAAATACTTCATTCATGCGTCGGTGGTATAGCACTAGAAGGCTTGCCAACCACGCTTATGGTCTCGGATTTGATCTCCAGCCGACTCATTCCTAGAACTCGCTAAGGTAGTCGTAAGATCTGTAAAGAGGGAAGACTGAACATAAGGCTAGCAACCCCACCCCGTAAAAATAAAGAAAAAAAGCCACTGCTACCAAAACTTCAAAGCTCTTGCTTAAAGCCCTATATTCCATTAGAAACGTAAAATGAATAAAAAAAGCAAATATTGACATAGTAGTACAGAAAAAGCTATAAACTAGAGAGTACAACATATAAGCATCATGCTTTCTAGCTTAAGTTATCGCCTATTTTTATACCTTTTCAAAATAGAAAGTTCACGATATGTAATTCGAGAAAAGGGAGAGAGTGAAATAGAAGACAGGAAACTCAAGACAATATCATTATAATTATTATTATTAACCCATATGGTTACGCAATGAATCAGGAAATAAAATCTGTTCAAGTGGGCTGAAGTCGCTAACATAAATGACTATAGAATTAAATTAACTCACCGAGTCGATCTCATTTTCTCGGGTCATTAGTAATAATAATAATTTGAATAAGGCGTTTAGAAAACAGATTTCGCGAGATGATATCATTTCGTAGTTTCTTTGCAACCGCTTTACAATTAACACAGTTCACAATAATAATCAAATAAAATGCATGACATTTTCAATCCCTGTACCTACTATTATAAGCAAGTAATTCTGTGGACTCTACTTCAAAGTGTATCTACAAGTTCATCTGCAGTTGCGGTGACACCTATATGGGTAGAACCAATGTAGTCGAAAAGAATATGTTTTAAAATGGTTATTAAAACACATAGAAAATCCCAATGCAATTATTAATGTGAATAGCAATCCATTGCAAAGCACTTATTAATGTCAGGTCACAAAATCAATATTAATGACTAGTTCACAATTATTTCACACAAATCTAATCCAAGGTTGGTTATTAAAGGTGATGGAAGCACTTTGGGGGATTAATTGGATACATCCTAACCTATGTGTACAGAAAACAATAGACTTCAACCTTCACTTACCATGGCCTACTTGACCTATTTAAATATGATTGGTCATTAGTATGTAATTTGGTTTTATATAACAGTGATTGTCATGCATATTATTTTATTATCAATGGAGAGGCACGGCTGAAGCCCTATGTTCCTCTAGGAATTAAAGGATATAATAATATAATAATCATTGTGAAGCATGTTAGTTGTAAAGCGGTTGTAAAGAAACTACGAAGTGATATTATCTAGCGAAATTTGTCGTCTAAATGCCTTATTCAAATTTATCAGAGGGACTAATTGTTTTAATAATAATAATGATGATCGTTTTTTCTCTCTCTGCCTGACATCTCTTAATCTTTCTTTTTCTCGGAGCATATGAACTGATGATGACTTGACCTAGAAATCATGATGTTTACCATTTTCCAATACTCTTTATTTTCGGTAGCCTTCAGCTGCTGATACTGATGATGATCCGTGGAACTGTATGTATAAAGAATTAGTCTTTGTCCAAAATGTATTCAAATCTTATAGTGAATAACTTCAACGAGTAGTGTTTGTGTGTCTTCGTGTAATGTGTTTAATATTTTCTGTAAATTTTTCCTGTATCAGTTTTAATTATTCTCTTTTTCCCAAAACGTTAGAAAAAAATAATTTTCTATGAAACAGGTGTGTGCATTAAAAAAAAAGAAACTGATGTTTTCGAAATCTGTAAGAAACAAACAAATAGATAAGAAGAAGGTGTTCGTATGTTTATGAACTATTTATCGACTCTTGAGAGTAGGAAACAGAAATAAATAAATAAAAATTAATAATAATAATATTAATAATGAAAGGATATGTTTCTAGGCTCTTTTTTCTTCATAATGAGAGGAACACAGCATTGCACGTGTGGTTGAAAAATGTATCCCTTCTCGATTTCGACATAAAACACTATGATCTTAACCGTTCTTCTCTTTCAACCTTTTTTTTCTTGTTTTTCCTTCATTTTTACTGTATCCTGCCTTCTTCGTTCCCCCCGTCCCTGCCCACGTATCACTCACCTGTTTCTGTAGACTTTTTTTAGTGGAATACAATCGAGATTATTTATTTACTTATTTACCATAGAATAGTATACGAATAGCAGATTGGTAAATGAAAGAAGATGGAAAATAATATTAATACTAATTAGCGGTGAATTTAAAATATTTTTTTTAGAAGATAAAGATAAATGGAACAAATAAAATAAAAAAGAATAACTATGAACTGATAATCAAACATGTGCGAAATGATGTGCATTCCCGATACATTTATTTATTCCCCCCCAACTCCCCACCGCCATTTTTCATATCTGCTATACATGATTTAACAAAATTTATCTATCAGTTAGAGAAGCACTGATAACCAGGGAGTATTGGACAACTGTTTCATTCTAGTTTGGGAATCACTGGCAGCACTCCCTGGTTTTCAATGCTTCTCTAATTGATATCAATACGTGGTAAAACTAGAAAAACTAATGTAATCCTTACAAATCAACTCTTGAAAAACTACCTATCTATCGGGAATTGGTGGAAGTTACAATTCACAGGACATTAGATTCCATTCCGTTGCTTGAATGGGTTCAACATGGGTTCGTATTGTAATCTGAAGGTCCTGGGTTAGATCATTGGTACAACAAAGTGTACGTACTGCTGAAGAGCCCAAAATTAGGACTAAATAGCTACCGAGTAACTCCTAGGGCTTTTATGATCCTTCAACTAACATATAATGTCATAACTACCTGATGTGAGAGTTTCGCAGAAGGAGTTGATCTGGATAATAATACATAAGTACTGCCGCATGATGTCATTGACTGTTGATTTAAATGATGTTTACTAATATCAGGTGACTGAAAGCCGTAGATATAGGTTTCTTAGTTGTTGGCACCCATGAAGAAGGCGTATCTACAACCTCTCTTAGAGAATCGAATTCGCCTTACTCAGTACTGTAGTCAGAGTCACCATTTGGACCCATCTGATATGCATTCAAATTTCATTATGATGGCGAATCACCCAGCTAAGTGTGACCATATTGCAAATTCGACTGATGAAATTCAGCCAGCAGTAACACTAAGGTCTAGATGCATGACATTAGTTGTTCTTCAGTGATGAATGAATGGATGCTCACAAGTGGCAGTTTCTTTTCCATTTCACCACACACAAAGTATTTTTAGGGTATTTAAACTGAAATGCGTCATTAGTTCACTGAGCTAGTGAATATGTACATTTTCTGTACATTAACAAATAACTCTTGTTCAATTGTTTGAATAATTGTCAGTTGTTATTGTTGTATCAATAAAGAATCATTGATTTCATTATCTAATTATGAAGTTACGTAACGAGACTTCGTTTAATATTCACATTTTTATTATTTTTTGTTTACTAACTAGCAAGTGAAACAGAATCCTCGAAGTTCACGTAAATCCCTGGAAGATTGTTATATGGTTATTGTACAGCGTTGGACTAAAGTAGAAACATTACTTGAATCAATTATACGAAACACATTGAGTAAGTATTTGATACCCTACTCTGTTAAAGTCCTTTTTAAACAACATTCTAGCGAAAGTTGAGTTATATTAAACTCTTACCATAACGTAAAGAATTTACGCTACTCTTAATTTTGTCTTTCTCAAATGTTAGAATCGCGATGAACATTCGTCTGAGACAACCACTTTTATTTATTTACCAGGCATCAGTCATTCAGATTTCAATATTAATAAATAGCTTTCATCTTTTTTCTCCTCCATAGTTGTCTTTCGTCAACCTTTTTTCTGCATTCTTTGTATCCCTTCCTTTTCTGCCTAAATTCTAAAATACTACGAATCCTGAATTTGGGTTTGTAAGGATTTGATTAATTTCCACGTAAATTTCGTCCACAAACCCAACCTCAGTTAGAAAACCACGAAAAGCCAGGTGATTAATTTGTTTAACGGCAATAAATTCTAACCTCTGTCGTTTCGGTGTATACATTGTTAGCACTGTGATTCCTAGGTGATTTTTTTCACAGTAAACAGCTGTGCATTGCTCCTTATACTTATCACAAACGCAACTCCTAATTCATAATCCATTACTAATTAATTACTCATCTGAAGAGGGATTTCTTGGAGTTCTAATAATAAACTATCACCTGTGAAGTTCACCAAGTTGAGTGAGAGAATAGTTACCTACTGGAAGACTTTGGATGTTAGTGGCGCTGTATCGTGAGTCAACAGAAGTTAGAATTCAAATGCCATTGAATTATAACCTAGTGACTGATGAGTAAATGTGATCAACTCCTTAGCTGGATGTTATGTTCTCGCTTCTCTGAGGAGATTCAAACTTGAACGACACAGCTGTTGTATACTTCCTGGAATTTGATAATTCGGTAACCGATCCTAGTTTGTGACAAAATCTACTGCAAATTATCTTCCGAACATTTATATTATTTACTTATTAGTATTATCATTTTAAGTATTCATTTGACAATTCTTCCGAACAAAAAGGCAACTTTTTGCTGATGATAATGTTAAAATATATTCATAACATGGATGTTTTTCAATCCATGGCATCAAGTTTTGAAGTTCCAGTTCCAGTGGTGGCGTTGTTAGCCTCACGGCCAACCTTCTCGCTGTACCAGATTTACTTTCGGTCGTCGAACCCAGACCACGCGCGCGCCGTTGGCGAGCATTTCACCATTGAACGGCTGACACAAATTAAATAGTAACGTGCTTTACATTGTATGCCAATTTAAACAAAAAATAAGGCAGACAAATTTTAATTTAAACTTTTTAATTCATCAGGATATCTTATGAACTGGATCAAGAAAAGAAACAAAACTTATTTAATTAAATAAATTTTCTTACTTGAATATTAATAATAATTCATCCTTTATCGGTTTGTTTGTTTGTCTGTCTGTTTGTTTCCCTTCTCCTAATGCTTTTGTTTTCATTTTGCTTTTTTCCTTTCTTTTCAACTCAAGATGATGATAAAGAAGTGGCTAATTTAGAAACTTCACGTAATGCTGTCAAATCATTACTTAAATCAGCTGAATCTATTCTCACGGAATTTGAACATGCAGAGAAGTTGAGTGAAATTGCCAATCGTCTAGAAGTACCCACACAAATGATGACAATTATAACATCATCTGCGAATAGTAGTCATACAACCTCTTCCTCCTCTTCTTCTTCTACTTCGTCATCATCACCTGAAATTCAATTGCTAAATGAATTGAAATCACCTAGTACAAAGTTGATTAATCATGGGCCATTGTTTGCTATTCCAATGGTTGCTGGTGGTGGACAACAGTGTAAGTGTTTGATTCAATTTGAAATTTTTTGATTTGACACTAGTAACTAGTGTGATGCGTCTAGTCCTCTCTTTGGTGCTGACTGAATTCTATCAGTGAGGTTGTAATGTGGCCACCATTCTAGGTGCCTCGCCATCACGGTGTACATTGTTTGTGATGATATTAGATGATTGGAGGCAATCGGCCACAGGAAGCCTTGGATCTAGGTTTCGTGCTAGTTGGCACTCGTCAGCAAGGCGTATCTGCAACCTTGAAGGAACTCATGTCCCTTCTGAGATTCGAACCCGCGTCACTCAGTGCTGCAGTCAGAGACGTTACCACTGAGCTGTTCGGGCTCGCGATTGACCTCCTTTAGGGCTGTAGTGGATATTTTGATTTGCCACTAAAATAAAATGGAACAACATGGAATAAACAAAAAATGAAATTTTTTTTGTGAATCGTGTGATAAAATTAGGGCCATAGTACAAAAGTTATGTATTACCAAAGCTTCCGCTGTAAGACATAAATACACTTGTGTCCCTTTCGACAAAATTTTTAGACTGTGTTAAAGCGGCGTGGTCATTATCTACCACATATTGCAATATGGATAAATTAGTGGCTTCACATTCTCCTTTGCTCAGCCAAGCTGAGAGGTGCTTTCGGGCGCGCGGGATATGTTTTTGAGGGACATCCTACGTATTTAACACTGTAAGAGCATGGGAACACATCAGTGCATATAAAGTTGGACAATCGACGTAACATTTCCTTACCATTAAGGTACATTAGTGGATGGCTTGAGTAAGTTATTCGGGCAGTGGCAGAAAATTGGTTTCTCCAATGTTATTATCAATCGGATTTTAAGGTCTTCACTCGCAGTGTCACCCCTTAATTCTGAGTTCAGATGGAACACCTTTTTAGGTACCTTATTCCACTCTGTATTTCTTTCACATAATTGGTTATAAGCCTTGATAAGGTTTGGATACCCATTCTCTGCAAAAGTTTCTTTCAGCTGTCTAAGTTCTTCATCAACTCCGTCTTCATTACACTTTCTTCGGACATGTGTTAAGAGAGGACGGATTAAATTCCTTTAGTGTTTTTAAGTAAATACTAATGGGTTTTTTTAAGATCACATAGTTGTCAACCTTGGATTTAAATGTTCATACTTTTCACTTTAATTTAATATACACTAGGACACTGTTCCTTCTTGGTTTCTTCAAGTTATTCTATAGCGAAGTCAATTTTTTCATTCTAATTATAATAATTATGGTAATCACTTCAGTCCAAATACTAACTTTATACAGAATAGAATTTTTAGCAGTTTTAGAGGTCAACAAATGTACTTCTCATATACATAAAATTGAAAAATTTCACCCACGATATCTATTGCTTGTGCTTAATAATTATAGGGTTAATTATTTGATTTACGAGTTCACGAAAGAGTACACTCTATGTGTAAAAATTATACGATTTTGAGGTCAACTTTGATTGATTAAAACTAAGGCAAAGGAGTCGCTGGCTTAGCGGTGGAATGCTGGACAGCCATGCATGTGGTCCGGGGTTCGACCCCAGGCCGACGCACTCCTTTACCTGGCTAACCTTGCAGTAAGATCTGTAATTAGGAAAGTTTGGGCATTAGGTTAGCAACCCCACCTCTTGAGGATAAACACCACTGCTACCGAAACTTAGAATTGGAAGCTTGAAGCCCTATGTTCCACTGGGAACGTAAAGGAATAAAATAAATAATAATAAGCTAAAGGAGTAATTTAAAATAGTATGCGGCTGATATCTATTTTTGGCTATTTTGGTAGCCTAAAGTTTCTGGAGGCGTTTTCCTCGTAGATATGCTTCACACTATTGCATAGGAATAACATACCTACACCTAACAACAACTTTTACAATGTGTAGAATGAATGAAAACATTGTATGATTTTATCGCCTGTTTTGGGCCTTGACTAACTGGATTATTTCTAGGTATTTATTCTTCGAAGCGACTTTTCTGATTTACACAACTGATGTGTTTATTTGCCAGATAACGAAACCTTTCTATATATCTTTTGAAGATGTTGAACTTAGGTGATAAAAACTTCAAACTAATGTCAGTGATTTTTTATTCCTTTAGCACAGTGTTTAGTGACATATATCACGAAGTAGCCGGTTTCCATTCTGATCGTCTATTTGCATACAGCACATTTATAAATCTCAACTAAGTGTCGTGGACTTCTTGCTTAAGAGGATGGTAGGCTGATTTTCTTTTCAGCTAACAATGGAAACAATAAAATATGAGATGGTTGTATTTTTCTTATTCCTTTACGTTTCCAGTGGAACATAGGGCTTCAAGCGAGAGGCTTGAAGTTTCGGTAGCAGTGGTGTTTATTTTTACGGGATGGGGTTGCTAGCCTCATGCCCAACCTTCCCTTTTTACTAGTCTTATTATTGGCTTAGCGAGGTAAAGGAGTGCATCGGTTGGGGATCGTACCCTGAACCACCTGCATGGCTGACGAGCATTCTACCGCTCTGTCATCGACACACTGATTTGAAACTCTATCCCTATGATTTAATAATTTCATATACAGTTGATAAGACTCAGAACGACGGATGATTACAATTTTAATATAAAATGACTCCGCGGAAATTAAAAATATTAATATTTATTAAGAATGACCTCGATTTTGACGGTATATATATATATATATATATATATATATATATATATATAGGGAGAGACAGAGGCCTCTTGTAGTCAGTGCTACAGAAGACCTTATTTTCCTACGGTTTCAATTATCACCGTCGTACATTTAAGTATTCATATACAACTGGGCCTGATATATATGTGCATATAAAATTATACTGCCGTAAAATACAAATAATTTTACATTGATAGCAGAATACCACAGGTTTTCTAGCGTGTTTGACCATCTGTTTGATTGTCCTAGTTAACTAGACATTCCGCATTATCGTAATATTCAAATAAAAAAAGCCAGTACAGAAATATTTTATTAGTATTGCTAGATGGTGCTAAGAAAGAGTGAGAGACAGACAGGCGGGTGTGTGTTTTTTAATTAAAAAAGATAATTTTTCTATCAGCAATTTCGCATTTTGAAAATTTTCTGATGGCATATTTATTTTTACAATAATATTTGGCAAAAATAAGCATAGAATGTATTTATCTTCAAAGTAATTTGTATTGTGTATTGTGTTTATATTTGGAAGCAAACTGCTCTGTAGGCTTATCCGGATTGTCTACATCCTTCAAAGTGTATCAGTATATCTGTTTTAAAGAGTAAATTATCGATTCTTTGTCACTACGTTAGTGGTTCAACGATGGAATGCTTTCCACCCATACACGTAGTCAGCGTTGGATTCCCAGTCGACACACCCTTACACCTTCCCCTAGTTTTCTGTCAGTAGGTATTAAGCTCAGAAAAGAGGAAAGGTTATAAGGTTGAGGTGACTGAAGGCAAACGACATGTTGATAAGCTATTCAAATGCATTAGAATAAATATGTCCAAATACTAGTTCACTCATAATCCTTTGTGTTTTGAATGACTTGGCAACATATGCTTTACTGTCAGTCGTGTGAGGCTAAAAACTCCAACTCGTCGAAAAAGTAACACCAGCAGTATTGAAACCTCTAAGCTTAAGGCTTGAAGCCTAATGTTCCCCTTAGAATGCAAAGTAATGAAAAAAAAATTGCTACTTTCTTTTAATACTGTTTCAGGCTTTATTTATTACAGTGGTGTATATACACAATGTGTTATTAAATGACTAGTTGAAATTGTACACAGTTCATCAAAATCTACACAATCTGATGGGATCTCTAATTATCAGTAAATAAGTCTGTGCCTGTACAAAAGCACATACCATATCAGTATGTTGCATCAAAATGCATACAAATTTCGTTTACTGGAATATTTACTCAAACTTTTTAATTTACTACAATTGTATGCAATTCAAAAACGAGTAAATGAATTTATTTTGAGAATAACGATACTAATTGCTTTATTCTAGACAATATGTGAACACGTAGTACGGGATTTTCAGTGTATTTAAATTGTAAACTATCTACCCTTCATACAGGATCTTCAAGTGAAATAGCATATTTGGCAGTACATCGTGTGATACTGTGTTCCTCCATCTAAAGTAATATCCTATCCTCTACGATATCTTTCACTCATTTCCTTTCAGAACTGTTCTGCATTACACTGACAGCAGATTAAAAAATGTGAGCAAATTTATGCAGAGATCCAAAAACATAAATAAATAATTAAAACAATAAGAAATGGAGAAGAGTTTTATGCATTATACTCAATAGAAATTTAGGTAGCTCAGTCATTTAAGGAGGCCGCCGTTAATGATAAACAATGTAGCTGTGTTTAATTTCCACCTTTGACCGGTTGCTATAAATCAAGTGTCCTTTGTGAAGTCGGTTAATAAAATGGGTGATTCGAAACTTTACATTATTGTAGCTTGTTAAAAGATATTGAGTGTTTGGCCAAGAGTATTTATGATGCATTGAGGTGGTGTCATGTTATGTTCCCTCTGAATAGGATCTGTGTAAGGCTTAAATTCTGACAGCATCCCCTACAATTAATCATATTAAAAGTGAATATAGTATACTACCAATGGATACTGTTATCACCTCTAGATATCATAACTTCATGCCCGGAAGACTATACAATAAATTTTTCTTCTAAGTGGAATTAAGTTAATTTTAATTGATAGTTTCTCATTGATTTTAGTAAAACAAAATAGTGGCACCTTCAAGGAACTGTCACATTCTGGCAGATACTTAGACTTTGAATCATCCCGCTTAAAATCATTAGATGGGATACCTGTTTAATCGATCCAGGAGCCTGACAGGTAGTCAGTCAGGAAATTTCAAAGTGTGAAGTCAAACAAATAAAAAAGAAATCACTGCTAAACAACTTTCCAGGAAAATTCATTCGAAGATTTATGTCAAAACTTGTAAAAAAAAATAAGAGTAGTAATGTAAATAATACAAGGAACAAGGAATTAGACGT